GTTAGCTCATTTGAACTTTATGAAAAGAACTTTTCAAGAGCTACATGAAAAGGAACTGATTTTTTCAGAGCTGCATCAGGTTTTACATCATTCTTTCCTCATTGGATGAAAGTTATGATGATTACGTATCTTCACTGGAAGTCCTGACCAGAAATGAACTGACATTGACTGACATAACTGGACGATTGATAGAAGAGGCAAGAAGAAGGCAGGATAGAGACCAATTGAGAGAGAAACAACCACAAGAAGAGGATTTGTTTTCAACTGCCTATACTGTTAGGAAATGTTTTTCTTGTGGGGCTAGGGGACATATAGCTAGATTCTGTAAGAAGGGAAAATGACAGAATACTGGTAATCACTAGAAGGCTAAGAAGAATGTTAATTTAGCTGTGTCTAGCAATTCAAGTGTAAACCATGATTTGTGGGTAGTTGATAATGGAGCATCGCAGTGCATTACTAGAATTAGAGAGAGGTTTGTAAAGATGTCCGTAAATAAGCAACATGTATCATTGGCAAATGGATGGAAGTTAAAAGCATCTAGTGAAGGTACTGCATATTGTTCATGTGTAAATAAGCATGTACCTATGTTATATGTACCTAAACTGTAATTTAATTTGTTATCAGTAAGGGCTTTAGTTAATATTGGTTATGTAGTAACCTTTAGGGGAGATAACTGTATAATAGAGAAAGATGGTAAAAGTGTTACTGCTACTTTAGAGAATGATTTATATGTGATACATGATGACCAGTTGCAGATGGCTAACTCAGTTTATAACAATGTTAAGCCACATGACGAATGTATACATTTACTGCATAGACATCTGGGGCACATTAATTTCAAAATGCTGAAACAAACTGTTAAATTGTCAGAGGGAGTAAAATTAAAACCCTGTAGCAAGTACTTAAACTGTAATGCCTGTAATCAGGAGAAAAGCAAGGTTACTCCTGCAAACAGACTGAATGGGTTTAAGAGAACCAAAGAACCTTTAAAACCCAGTTTGGGAGGTGCCTGCTATATTTTGATTATAATGGACCATTACTCACAGTATGGTTTCTGCTATCTAATGAAAAACAAAATTTCTTTAACTGGCTAAGATTTGCTGAAAGGAAAATGAGACATAGGGTAATTACCTTAGTTACAGATAAAGGGACTGAGTTTATTAACACTAGATTCCAAACAATGTTGAAAATGGCTGGTATCGAGCATAAGCATTCTGCCCCTTACAGGCCACAACCTAACTCGTTTATAGAACGAAGGGGGCAAACATTACAAGCCATGGCTCGCACTATGTTATCCAATTCAGATTTGCCTGAAATACTGTGGGGTGAGGCCATAATGTGTACCAATCATGTGTTAAACAATGTGGTGAACACAACAACTGGTGAATTGCCATTCACTTGTTGGCATGGCAGAAAACCAAATTTAAGTTATCTACACACATTTGGAGCTCCAGCATGGGTGCATATTCCCTCACAAGTAAGACTGAAAGGGCAACATAGAGCTAGGAAATAATTTTTCTAGGTTACAAGGCCAACCATAGATTGTTTAGATTCTGGGCTCCAGGCACAGCTAATGTTTACTATAGTGCTAGTGCTAAATTTCTTGAGCACGTTGGGTGGCATAAACTAGAACAGGAATCCAATAATGATGTTCTTATCGACACCCAAGTAGTCCTTAATGATGAGATAGTTAAATCATCAATAGCCATTAAAAAGGAAGAACAGGCACAGGAGGAGGTAGAAGAACAGGAGCAGGTGGAACAGGAGAGTCCATCAATAAGCCCTGAGTTGCCTAGACATTCAACCTGTGTAACACGACCACCAGATAGATATCAGGCTAGTATAGCATGCCAAGTATATAGTTCCTACTAACTATAATGAACTGAAACTGTATCCTGCTAAGGATCAGGCTACTTGGCGGGAAGCAATGGATTAGGAATCGAAATTCTTACAAAGATTGGAGGTATATGAAAATGTCAGGTTACCACCAGGTAAGCATGCCATAGGGTTGTAAGTGGATTTATAAAATTAAGACAGGTATAGATGGGACTGTTAACCATAAAGCCAAGTTAGTAGCACAAGGGTTCGATCAGTCAGCCAATGGCTACAATGAAGTGTTTGCACCTAGTCTGAAGGCTACCACATCACAAGCAGCTTTAGTGTGGGTAGCTAAGAAGAAATACACAATAAACCATTTAGATGTTGAGACGGCATATCTACATGCACCGTTGCAACATACTATATATTTAAAGAAGCTTTTGGGGATAAAAACTGATAACAAAACTGATTGCTGGAGTCTTTATGGCTTGAAGCAATTAGGCTATGAATGGAACCAGTGCATAGTGAAGGAAGTAACAAAGATAGGTTTTGTAGCTGGCATGGCTGATCCATGTTTATTCAAAAAGGAAAGTGATGGTGTAATTACATTGTTGCTATTGTTCACTGATGACATAGCATTAATCACTAAAACTTAGCAAGAAGCTACTGGGATTATTTCACTGTTAGAAAAGAAATTTAAAATCAAACATTTAGGTGAGATTAAACAGTATCTTGGTTTGAAAATAGATAAAACTAAGGGAGGCTACAAAATCTCACAGGCAGATAAAATTAACCAGTTACTGAAGAACTTTAAAATGGAACTTTGTAAACTGGCTAAGACCCCAATGAGCCAGAAGTTTAGCCACAGTGATGTGCAAAGTCCTGTTTTTGATAAATACATTTATCAATCATTAATTGGTAACTTATCCTATCTTAGTAATTGGTCTAGGCCAGACATAGCATAAAGTGTCAACCAGTTAGCCAGGTTTAACCCTGAGCCTACTGAAAGGCATTGGCAAGCTGCTAAACGTGTGTTGAGATATTTTAACAAATGATGCATTATGCAATATATTTGGAGCCTAAGGATGAATTAAGTTTAACTGCATGTGCCAATGCAAGTTCGCTACAGACGTACCTACATGTAAATCAACATCAGGTACTGTAGTGTTATTAGGAAAGGTGTTAATTGGATGGCGGTTTATTCAACAAAAACATCTAAGCTTATCAATAATAGAGGCTGAATTCTCATGTTTGTCTCTATTATGTACAGACTTAGTATGTTATAAACAACTAATGATAGACATGGGAAGTAATGTAAAGGAACCTATTGTTGTATATGAAGACAATCAGCAATTCAGATGGCTTCCAATCTCGCCATAAAGACAAGATCAAAACACACCAATCTATGATATCTGAATGTGAGACAATGTGTTCAAAGTAAAATGATTAAACTGGAGTACTGAATGTCAGAGAATAACATTGCAGATCATTTTATGAAAGCCCAAGGCACTGTAAAACATAAGGCTTGCTGTGAGGAATATGGACTTAAACTGTAAGATTTTATATATTGTCCTACCCAAAGGGGAGAATGTTAGGAATGATAGTCACCTAACAGTTGGGTTGGCAATATATAATATTTAATACTGTTGTATCTTTAAGAGAATGCTGTAATTGTGATTGGCTAAGGTTCCTCCAACAGCCATAAGATGGAGCCAGAAACCTGGTTTGTTCCTTTTTGCATTTCCTTTGCTTCCTTTTTGCCTTTTGTTTGATCGTCATTCTGCTTGAATTGCTGTGAGTCTTGCAACTGTTCACAAACTCTGTTTACTGAACTTTGTTTATGATACTGGTAAGGAAAAGGATTTCATTTTTGGATTATCCCTGGACTGATTGTTTTGAATTCTAACTGCTTTAGCTGTGTATGATTTGGACCATTTGTTGGACTTTGTTTACCCATTTACTGGAAGTAAAACTATTACTATTACTATTCAGTGTATCTGTGTGCTGGTTGTGTATTATTCATCACCACTCTCACTATGTTTCTCTGAGTGCACTCATTCTCCTAATGGGGTATACCTCAGCACTATGACCAATAGCTTTCAGCATTTCAACGTAAGACAGTCACTTCCTGAAGATTTGCCATTTTTCATTGATTGCATGGCATTTGATGCTTCTTCCACTAGGATATCTGGCATTTCCTCTTTTGTGGGTGTTGTTACTTCTGAATGATCTTGATCTTTGTATAGCTCCGAATGGAATTTTCCAATTATTTCTAACATTTCCTGTCTTCTTCTATAAACAGAGCCATCTTCACATTTTAATGCAAAAACCATCTTTCTCATATTTATAAGCTTGAATGTGGCTCTATTAATCCTTTGTTTTCTTCCATTGTCCTTTTCACAAGCTTCATATTAAACTGATACTTTCTTTTTGATATATTTTCTTATACTCTTGCAAAGTTCAATGTACTCCAGTTTATTAGTGAAACTTCCAGTATTCTTCATTGTCTATAATTTTTTCATTAAATCAATAGTTTCATCAGAGATTTTTAATTGTACAAAGTGATTGTTTCGTGGTGCTATAGATGTAGCAGATTCAAGGATGTTTTGGCTATCTGTTTGTTTTGGCCTGCAATATTCATCTCTTTCAAATCTCACAATAGAGCAAAGTGATTTAATAGAGTAATCTCAAAATTAAAATCTCAAAATACTATTTTTTTCTAACCATGTGTGTATTTTTGTCCAATATTTTTTTGCCTTTGGGCATGTCCACCACATGTGGTAATATGAACCTGGTATCTGATTACATTTCTAACACTTAGCGGACATATCCTTCAACATTTTTGCTAATTTTGCTGGTCGAAAATGCCATCTATAAAACATGTTATATAGAATTTCTTTGTATGCAGTTGACATTGTTAGTTTATAATTGCTATCCAACAATTTCTGCCATTTATTTAACTCTATAGTATAACCAAAAGGGATGCGGTGGCTCAGTGGCTAAGATGCTAGAGCTGGAAATGACTAGCATGTATGTGTGAGGGGAACCTTTACCATTATAATATAAACAAAAATTTTAGTCTATGCTATCATTGTTTCCTTTATTTGCTCTTCTACCATTTTAATGCTCAGTAGGTAGCTATAGATTTTTTAAATTAGTTTTTCATCTGTCCTTGTTAATACCTGATCTAGTTCTGTTGGTTCTTTATAAAAGCCATACATTTTAGCACCATGCTAAAGTTCTTGCTTGTTTTAAGTTCCACTTTTTCATCCAAGATGTCCTTATATCTTGTAATGTTTTCCATATTAACAACATTTGGATTTATCAGTGCTTCCATTGTGGAGACCCAGACTGGTATTTTCAAATAGTGTTTTTTCTCTAATTTTTGCCCACACTCATAATTATGCATTTCTAACATAATGTCTTTGAAAATATCTATATATTTTATTTTTCCCATACCATAAAAAATGTGCCATCTCAGTTGGAGATCATGTCCCTCCAATGTTGATAATTGTCTATGCCTCAGATTTATCCATTCTTTTACCCATGTAAGTACAGAGCCTGATAATACAACTCCCAATCTGGCAACCCAAAGCCCCCTTTTGTTTTTAGAATCTTATAACATTTTCAGACTTATTCTTGCCTTTTCCCCTTGCCAAATATATTTTTGACATTATTTTATTTGATTCCTCAAAATAATTTTTTCCAGCTTTATCTGTATTGTTTGGAACAAGTATAGTAATCTCGGAAAAATATTCATTTTTATACTAGCCATTCTTCCTATCGAGGATAGCTATAAATTTTTCCACTTCTCCAGGTCTGATTTGATTTTTTTGCAGTAGCTTAATGTAATTATCTTATTTAATGGTTGCACATCTTTCTCTTAATTGAATTCCTAGATACCTTACTTTCTGAACTATCTGGATTTCTGTCTTCTTCATTAAGTCTTTTTTCTGCTTATCTGTAAGATTTTTAGCTAATATTTTAGTTTTTTCTTTATTTATTTTCGGTCCTGCAACTTCATTATAATCTTCTTCTTCTTTAATTAATTTGGGTCCAGTTTCTTGTGGTTCTTCTAGAATAAATACCAGAACATCTGCAAATGCCTGTAGTTTATATTTTTCTTTTTTTATTTCCATACCTTTTATTTCTATATATTGTCTAATATTTATATTTAAGACTTCCAATGTCAGTATAAATAGTAGAGGGGACAATGGACATCCTTGCCTTGTGTCTTTTATTTTGAAGTTCTCTGTCATGTCCCTATTTGCAATCATCTTTGCAGTTTGTTTGGAATATATTGCCTTAATCATATTAGTAAATCTTTCACCAAAGTCCATATATTTTAATTGTAATAACATAAATAGAATTCTTTATTGGCTAAGTGTGATTGGACACACAAGGAATTTGTCTTGGTGCAAATGCTTTCAGTGTAATAAAAGTGTCCTTGTGTCTAGTTGTACTGGTGTGCAGTATTCTATAGCATCATTTTGAGGGTAGGAGTTGAAACAGTTTATGTCTGGGATGTGAGGGGTCTGTAAATATTTTCACAGCCCACTTTTTGACTTGTGCAGTATACCGGTCCTCGATATAAGGCAGGTTGGTAGTAATTGTTTTTTCTGCAGTCCTAATTACTCTCTGGACTCTGTGTCTGTCTTGTTTGGTTGCAGAACCAAACCAGACAGTTATAGAGGTGCAGATGACAGACTCAATAATTCCCCTGTAGAACTGTAGCAGCAGCTCCTTGGGCAGTTTGAGTTTCTGAGTTGGCACAGAAAGAACATTCTCGTGCTTTTTTGATGACGTTTTTGATGTTAGGTGTCCATTTTAGGTCTTGTGATATGATAGAACCTAGAAATTTCAAGGTCTCTACTGTTGATACTGTGTTGTCTAGTATTGTAAAAGATGGTAGTATGGGAGGGGTTCTTCTAAAGTCTACCACCATTTCTATGGTTTTGAGTGTGTTCAGTTCCAGATTGTTCCGGTCACACCACAAGGCAAGTTGTACAACCTCCCATCTGTATGTGGATTCATCATTGTCTCGAATGAGACCAATCACTGTTGTATCATTTGCAAACTTCAGTATTTTAACAGATGGATTGTTTGAGATGCAATCATTGGTATATAGGGAGAAGAGAAGTCGAGAAAGCACACAGCCTTGGGGGGCCCTGTGCTAATTGTACAGGTATCAGATGTGATTCTGCCTAGCTTCACCTGCTGCTTCCTGTCTGTTAGGAAGCTTATGAGCCACTTACAAGTGTATTCAGGTACCACTAGCTGGTTTAGTTTAGTTAGAAGAATGTCTGGAATGATGGTATTGAATGCTGAACTGAATGATGGTATTGAATGCTGAACTAAAGTCTACAAAGAGGACCCTAGCATATGTATTTGGAGATTCAAGGTGTTGTAGGATGTAGTGCAGAGCCATATTAACAGCAACATCTGTTGATTTATTTGCTCGGGATGCAAACTGCATGGGATCTAACAGCGGATCCGTGATGGTTTTCAGGTGGGACAGCACTAGCCTTTCAAAGGCTTAACTACAGATTTTAGAGCAACTGGTCTATGTCATTCAGTTCCCTGAGGGAGGGCTTCTTTGGCACTGGGATGATAGCAGGGGTGGGATTCTACCAGTTTCGGCTGGTTTGGGAGAACCGGATGTTAATTTTACATCCAGTTTGGTGAACTAGTAGTTCTGAAGAAAAGCTGGCTCCACCCACCCCACCCCTCCCCTTCAAGGAGTACCCATGAGTCCTGTCTGGCTCTCAGGTCAGTGTAGGATAGTCTCCTAGGAGCAAAAATGGCATGTGGGGGAGTCTGGCGCTGCCCCCCCCCACTCTGCTTTTGTTCCAGAAGGCTCAGGGGAGGCTTGCTAGGCCAAAAACAGGGTGTGTGTGTGGGGGGGGGGTCCAACGTCACCCCCCCCACCCCGTTTTTGCTCTCAGGAGATTCCAGGGAGGCTTGCTAGCCTGAAAACAGGGTGTCGGGGGGTTCGGTGCCACCCCCATCCTGTTTTTGTTCTCAGGGGGCTCCAGGGAGGCTTGCTAGACCAAAAATGCTGGCCCCACATCATCCTGTTTTTGCTCCTAGGAGGCTCCAGGGAGGCTTGCTAGGCCCCGTTTTGGGCCTAGGAGGCCTTTCTGCAGCCTCCTGGGAGCATCCAGCTATCCAGTATGCCTGGATTCAGTGTTTAGCCAAAAGAACATTTGGAGCTAATAAAAATATTGATTACTGCCTTGGGAATGTTCTAGGTAAACAAAACTATGCATTCTCCTAAAACTGTTGGAGCCAATCTTCTTTCTTTATTTCTATATACTCCTCTTCAAAACTAAGCAACTACTTACTAGCAACTAGTAAGTTGCTTTGGTTTTTCATGCCAGGCTTCGTGTGGTAAGTTCGGAGAGGATTTTGTAGAGAACAGCTTACCTTTAGGTCTCATTCATTTGCTCAATTTCAGAGCATACATTACACAATTTCCAAAGCATAATTCAGACTATTCAGCAGTTTGCCCAGCTGCTGCTTCATTACTTCTATTGCTGTCACAACCTTTATGGAGTCCAATGGCCTTTAAATTAGACAAGCAAAAAACACAGTAAATATTTCTCACAAATATTTTCCCTCTTCCACTTTGTGGTTCAATATTTAATATACAAAATTATGTGCTGTGTTACTATTCAGACAGTTTGCAAACTTGTGTTTTTTGTTGTTGGAAGGCAACTCTTTAATTTGAAGATGGTAGTAAATTCTTGGTAATAAAATGGCAAGTATAAAGGCTCACTTCTACTTGCCATTTAGAAAGGTTTAGAAAGAATGAGAAGGTTAACCTTTGCTTTGTTTCCAATCTCCTTTTCTTTCATGAAAAAGTAGCATTGGAATTGAAGCCACATGTGTTAAAACAAAATTCTGTTTAAGTACAAGTATGCAAAAAGTTTCAAGATTAATCCAAGATGTTTAATGGCTTTAAATATCTGGGTGTTGTACTAAGGTTTAAGTCAGAGGTGTTCAAACTTGGCAACTTTAAGACTTGTGGACTTCAACTCCCAGAATTCTCCAGCATAGCTGGCTGGAGAATTCTGGGAGCTGAAGTCCACAAGTCTTAAAGTTGCCAAGTTTGGGGACCCCTGGTTTAAGTAGAAAGAAGTTCCAGCTGAAAATATACCATGAATAGCATAGAGATGCATGGTAGCTTTCCTTCCTTCCTTCCTTCCTTCCTTCCTCCCTCCCTCTCTCCCTCCCTCCCCCCCCTCTCTCTCTCTCTCTCTCTTTCTTTCTTTCTTTCTTTCTTTCTTTCTTTCTTTCTTTCTTTCTTTCTTTCTTTCTTTCTTTCTTTCTTTCCCCGGGGTGAAATTACCTAAGCCAAAGCTGTACTACATGACCCCTAGATAAATGAAGGAACTGGGTCAGTACATCAATAAAAACCTAGCCAGGGGATCCATACAACCAGCAAAATCAAGGGTGGCTGCACCAGTGCTGTTCAAAGAGAAAAAAGATGGCACTATGAGACTATGTGTAAATTTTAGAGGAATAAATGCTGTCTGCATGGAAAATATGTACCCACTCCCCCCGTCATGAAAGACATGCTAGGCCACCTTGCAAATGGAAAAGTCTTCACCAAACTAGACCTGTGAGAAGCATATTACCAGGTGAGGATTAAGGAGGGGAACAAGTGGAAAACAGCATTCAATTGTCCCTTAGGGAGCTTTCAATTTAAAGTGATGTCATTTGGTCTCCAAGGAGCCCCTGCAACTGATCAGTGAGGTGCTGCATGAGAGCACCTGTACAAAGGGATCATTGTATATTTAGATGACATTCTCATCTTCACTGAAACCCTGGAGGAGCCCATCAAATTGTTGCATCAAGTACTCAAAAACTCCTAGCAGCAAACCTATACGCCAAACTATCTTAATGTGAATTCCACAAGAACAGCCTAGACCACCTAGGTGTCTAGTGAGGGGGTGGCAATGGACCCAGGAAAAGTCAAAGCCATCCTAGATTGGCATTCCCCTCAAAACATAAGCAACTCCAAAGAGGTTTGCCAATTTCTATAGACAGCTCATTCCCTCCTTTGTGGAAATTGTCCTCCCAATCACCAAACTTTTGAAAACTGGGGGTGGGGGAGTAAAACCCCAGCCAGGTCAACCCCTGAAGTGGATCCTTGAATGCCAGAAGGCATTTGAAACACTCAAGAGACTCTTCAGCAAAGAGCCAATTCTTAAATACC